CTCTTGGAACTCCTAGTCTTTCCACGCTCAGTTTGAGGGGGTGTAAAGATAAAGATGCCAAGTCATGACTCATGACAGCTCATTTAGTTTGTTAAGCTGTTATGTTTGTTACAGCAGGTTGTTAGGGAAAGTTTTGTATAGCCTTGGTTATATATATACACCTCAAATGTAAATGTAATTAACAAGAAAAGTAAGTAAATGAGAAGAGGATTATTCAGTAAAATCATTCTTCTGTTTTCCTTTGTTTCTCTGGTTTCTTTGGTTTCATTAACATTGTCATCCACAATCTCATATTTTGAAAAGAAAAATAGATTTCGTTTCCAAATAGTATAGATGCATGCCAAAAATTCCACTTATAATTGGCATGTTTACTTATCATGAATGAGTGCTAAAATGATCCTAACTCTTGCTCTTCATGTGTTTACTAACACATAGGTATCAAAATGATTCCAATCTTTGACTTCGCCTGCGTTTATTAACACATAAGGAATCAAAATTTATATGAATTCTACGTTAAAATCCGTAATAAAATTCTCTCAAAATTATAAATTGGATCATATAGGAGGGAGTAATTGTTCCTTAATTCCCATATCTAAGTTACCCGATCCATTGAGTCATCATGTTAAACCCTTCTAAGTGGTGCATAAACTGCGAATGCGGGTTGCAGCTATCACACATTTCGTGTAGTGTCAAAATATGATGTTTGTAGTGCCTTATTTTTGTTGGCCTAATACCATGACATTGGGTTTCGGCCAACCATAATTGTTAAACATCAAATCATTTGAAGAAAATACAAGAGTGAAAACAAAATAAACAGCATTAAAATGAAAGGCATCTCATCAAATGAAAACTCATACTCCCAAGTGATTTGATGATTTCAACAACAATCTACTTATCAAACTCTACTTCGTACGCTTTGCAAAAACAGATAGTCATTGCATCAAAAAGCATAAACCGGTTGAATGGTTTCATAGCTAATTTTTCAAATTCCTTAAATATAACATAAATTCATCACAGAAAATAGATCTGTGTTTAGGACACATGTACTTGAATATGGCTCTGGAATTGATCAGTGCAACCTCCTAGAGTTTTTGGATAATAACAGAATTGGCTATACCAGCCTGCTCTATTGTCTGGTCCAGATCAGAGAGCTGTTTCGGAGGGAACCCCATCGTCTGCAGTCGGTAACTTCTTGCCCCATCAGGTCTTGATGCATCAATAAAAGCATGGATGTCTCTAATTGTATGGTGGTAGTTGAAGCGAGATACCATACGCGTACCATCTGCTAACCTTAGCTGAATAGAGGTTGATGGTAATGACTGATCCACAGTTAAGCCCATTGAGGGCAATGGAGCAGCTCTTAGGGGAAGATCAGCAGCAATTGACTCAGAGGTAGCTGCAGCAGAGGTAGAGCTGCTCTCACCTAAAGTTCTTCCAACACCCTGAAAAGAAACATGCCGTTTCACTGGTTCCTGGAACAAAGCTAGAAAACATCAGAAAGAATGAACCAGATGCAGATTAGTAACATATATAAAAGTAGGAGAGAACTAAGAACAAACAGGGTATTCTTCCTCCCGCCTCATAAGATTAACATGAACAGCAGTCCTCCTATTGGCTGGTTCAAGTTCTTTTGGGCACTCAGACTTCTTGATGCTCTGCAATCATAACAATGAAACATTATCAGGACTCAGAAGAGAGATCAAACTAGAAAAAAATACAAAAGCAAGTAAAATGAAAACCTATAATTGCAAGAAAAGGTGAAAGGAGAGCGACTAATCAGAACTTAAGAAATTTGTACACATAACAATTAATTGCAATATTTTGAAAGTTTCATTTGGGACAAGCTCTAGTTTGGCTACCAACTGCGCTATTTTCAACCCACTTAACAAAATAATGAGATCAAAACTTGTGGAAGTAAATTTGAGAAAGATGTTTACTCATCCCAAAACCCCGGTCACGTGACAGCGGCACGTGCCTAGAGAATCCCGAGAATACAACGGCCAATCGCAAGATTGTCATACTCCCAAGTATTCCCGAAACACGTTAAGCCCTTTTCAGTTGATTTGAAACGGGTTGGATTAAAGTTTTATTTAGATTTACTCTACATACTAAAAATTCAAGTTCATATCAATGCACTAGGAAAAGAAGCTGGCAGACTCATACAAACGACCAAACCATTTTTTCTTTTTCAGAAAGAATCATAAAATTCAAGAATAATTCAACCCATTATAGAGAAGCTTCATTAAAACTTACTTCCAAGAAAGGTGCATTTTCAGGATCATCCAGCCTCCGCAACGGACCGTCATCTACAGAAAACCCATTCCTCCAGAAAGTAATGGTGTGAATAACAACTTCAGGTGGCTGAGGTGCAGCAGTTGGAACAGTCTCCCCTGAAAGCAGTCTAGCTGTCCCAGTAAAACTTTTTGAGCTTGAAGAAGGTTGATGGGAGTCTATAGGTCCCTGGGCGGCCGCTAACTGTCTAGCTTGACTGAAAATTGAATCCACATCACTGCTTTTGGTAGGGTCTTGGACAAGCATTCCGCTGGAACCAACAATAGGACAAATTAAAACTAACAAATATTAAATGAACAATTGCAAAGAACAAAACGTGGTAGCAGGTCAACAAAAGCAAGAATGTTGAACCAACTTGACAATGATTGGAATACATTTTAAGACAACTCCTTAACCACAAAACATTGATTCTTGGTAGTAAGACTACCTACAATTGGGTCCCTGTGAGGCTAATTTCCCTAGGGCGTTCTTCAGGCCGAGAATAATCTGCCTAGTTCAGATGCATTCCTATTTTCTTTTGTTATAGACAAAAGACAACAATTGGAATTTTCTTTATTTTACTGACCTTCATTTTTCTCAGCGACCAAACATAATTTTCAGCTTATCTGTTTTGGTTGCAAAGAAAACGAATTTTCAGCACACAAACACAAAGCATTACATTCCACATTATGCATTTTGTCGGTTCCCGAACATAGGGTTAGAGCAACTAACTATCCTTATTCCTTATTAGGAAAAAAACCAGTGATTTTCCTCGACATTCTCGGGAACCAAACAAGAACTCGCAAAAGAGAGTACCTTTTCTCGCCACCAGTGTAGTACTCCTGGGGCTCATCCGAATCACTGCCGGACCCACCCTTTGCCGGCCGATTCAGATCGGAAAGCGTACGTATGCCACGTGGACGAGTCGCAGAAGGCGGCTTGGTATCATCAGCCTTATCTTGGGCCCCACTGGAGGCGGCGCGCTTCGATCGAAGCTGGTAGGGAGCGCGAGAGGGAGTCGGAGACGGCGAGCGAGAGCGCGGCGGCGATTGTGAAGGAGAGTAGTTGGGCGAGTGTGAGGGCGATGGCGAGAGCGAGTGGGAGGCCGGGATTGGATACGAGCCGGCGTTGGTGGGCGCGTCGGCAGAGACGGCGACGGTGTTGTTGTCCAAGAATGTCGAAACGGCGGCATCGAGGTCCCAGTTGTGGCTTTCGAGGAAGAAGAGGGCTTCTTGTTTGGAGGCGGAGGTGATCTCGCAGAAGGAGTTGATTACGGCGTCGTTTTGGGGATTGGATTCTTGAGCTTCAGTTTCCATGGCGTTCCACTCTTGATCGGATTCTTTGATTGCTCTCCAAGACTTCGGAGTGCAGAGTGTGATGTGGGAGAGAAGGCATTTGTGCTATATGTTTTATATCTGTTCCTCGTTTCGCTTTATGAGTGAAACGACGCCGTGTTGCTTCTCATGTCTGTTTTCCGTCGAATAAGTGATTAACGGCATGTCGTTCCACAGGCATTATTTCATATATAAAACAAGAAAAATCCATAATAATTCCAAAATCCACAACGTGCGTGTCTAGAAGTTTAATTTGACCTAATAGCCATTCAAACGAAGTTTAATTTGTTATATTTCATTCACAACAAAAAGAAAAAGAAACTGTATGATTAAAGTAAAGAAACTAGTTTTATATTTTAAAAATAAAAATAAAAAACCAAGAAAACCTATCCGACGAATTTTCATTGGCACAGATCTAAGCCAGTAAATATTGGCCGAATTGGACCTCTCTCGACGAAAGTTTCATCTGTCGACAAATTTTCATCAGGAGAGGTCTAATCCGACAAACTTTGGCCGAGATAGATCCGTACCGACGACATTTAGTCGGGAGAGGTTTTTTTTTAATAATAAATATAAACTTAGTATCTTTATGTCAATAAATTTTTATTTTAAATTTTCTTTTTAGTAATTCAATAAAATCTTAGCCTTATTTAATTTCAGTAGTAATTATGTTTTAATTATTATTTATTTTGTGAGTAATTAGTATTAAATATTTTAATTAACTTCAGAAATTATATTACTTAATAAATAGTAATTAGTATTAAAAAAAATTTAAATACTAATTATTCACTAAGTAAATAATAATTAAAATATAACTACTAATTAAAGTAATTAAAAAAGAGAAATTCAGATTATGACATTTCAAGGGTATAGCCGAACGGCTATACGTTTAAAATAATATGTTTATGGAGTCTAGCCGTCCAGCTGTAATTTTAAATATTCTTTTTATGACGTATAGCCGCGCGGCCATACTCTACTTTAAAATGTTCTATTTAAGTAGTACGGCCGAGCGGCTATACGTTTTAAATATTATATTTATGGAGTATAGCCCTGCGGCTATACGATTTTTTAAAATATTCTGGTTATGGAGTATAGCTGCGCGGCGATACTGTTAAAATATTCTTTTATGAAGTACAGCCGCGCGGCTGCACTGACTTTTAAAATATTCTGTTTATAAAGCATAGCCGCGCGGCTATACGTTTATAATATTCTATTTATGCAGTACAGCCGCCTGGCTATACCTTTAAAATATTCTGTTTATGGAGTATAGCCGCTCGGCGATACTGTTAAAATATTATTTTTACAACGCAGCTATACTCTCTTTTAAAATATTATGCTTAAGACGCAGCTATACTCTCTTTTAGAATATTTGAAGTAGCACAAAGCCCTGCTCCCTTACAAACAAATAATTTCATACATTCGTAGAGATATATGTATTCTTATAATGTGGCTCATTTCATTTGATCCTTGGCGTGAATTAACACAACTTGGTAAGAATTGAACTTTGACAAGATTCTTCAAGCACTTTATAAAATTTTCATTCGACCTGCAAACAGAAAACTCAGATGTTAAGGGAACTCCTAGAAGGCATTTAATGATGAAGAACGAGAAATGGGGTTTGTGTGTGTGCATTCACACATTTTAAGTTACAATTTTTAACCTACATAGTTGTTACTCTAAGGGGAAAAGAAAACTACCGGCTTTGAATGTTTAAAGACAGTCTAAAATGGGCCTCTTTTTATGCGGCACTTGTATGTGCATGTGAGCAAGCAGTAAGAGATGGATCATGACAGGAAACTTTAATTTCATTTTACTGTGGTGGCCGCCAATCTGGTTGCTGTAGTTTCTAAAACAGTTATATACTAGGATCTGGGGAAACAATGATCTGAGCTACATGCTTGGAAAAATCATTGCAACTGCAACTGTAATTCAAAGTACAGTTAAGATGTTTTAAGATGATTGAGTTCCCCTTAAAAATATGTTTTCATTAGACATGGCATAAAGCTTATGAACCATCTCTGGAATAATCAGTCAAAACAATTCAGTAAATTTCATTATTAAATAGATGGATTGATTGACCAATCAATAGTAATCATCCTCTTCATCCTGACAAGTAAAATAAATTACCACATGAGTTCATGTATATCGACTGTTAGCATCTCCACTGTCGGAAAGGCGAGGAACCACAACATGTCCGCCTCGAACTCTTTCTAGAGCATACGTAACCCTCAATGGCCGACCAAGCAATGCCTGCAAGCAGAACAGAACAACATCAATCAGAAGATGTTCTTAGACAACAAAATTGGGTAAATGACAATTATAACTTCTGCATCACCTTTCCATCCATGGCATCTCTTGCAACCTGGGCATCATCTTCCTTGGTGAAATTAACAAATCCAAAGCCTCTAGACCTTCCTGAGTCTCTGTCATACACTATCTTCACTACAATACAAACGTGCAGCTGATTTAGTTTATAGAATCGATTCTGTCAATTATTATATAAAAAATTCAACTTTGCAATGCGTAACTTCTAACTCATTGAAAAATAAGTGCTATCACTTGGACCTTTCATCGAACACATAGATGACTGATGAAGAATATGTAAATTGGGTAGCCAAGTTAGTTCATAAAGCAGGAAACTTTACCTTCAGTGACCTCCCCGAAGGAAGAGAAAGCGTCTTTCAAGGACTTCTCGTCCATCGACCATGACAAGCCTGCAAGACCCAAAAGCCATATCACCATAGAAACACACCAAAACGAAAATTACACGACTTCCAACGGGTATGAGAGTAGGGAGAGACCTCCAACGAAGAGCTTATTGTTCGGGCCAGTAGAGGAGGAAGAGGGTGGTGAACAGAAGAACCGCCAACGTAAATTTGGGTTTTGGGTTGTTGTTGTCGATGGTCGTCTAGCAAGGAATGTCAACAAAGTGTTGTTCCTCATTGCTCACTAGCTTCTCTGCCTCTGACTTGTTCCTTCTTTTTGTGCACCTTTGAGCTTCTGGGTTGGGCACTCTACGTAAATGATGTGTTTAAACCCAAAGCATTGGACTTGGACCCACAAATTTGGGTTTGGGGGCCTGGCTATATTCAGGTCCATGCCACGGAGGCATATACTTGGATGCCAGTGGGTACCGTCCGGTTTAATTAGTTGAGCTCTTCGTCCTCAAAAGAGTACTTAAATGGACATACGTGAATTAGGCCAGTTGACCAAGGCAGTTTAATTAGTTGAGCTCTTTGTCCTCAAAAGAGTACTTAAATGGACATACGTGAATTAGGCCAGTTGACCAAGGCAATGTGCCTCATTGTACCCGAATTCAATCCCCGTCCCGAACATCACTCTTTCAAAAAGAAAAAGGTACTTTGATGGACTCTCTAATTAATGAAAAACAATGTCTTTTTTATAGTGAGTAGTTTCTAAGCTTCTGTTGTTGAGATGATTATGTAACGATAAAAAACTTTGCAAATAGGCCTATCCATTTGTGCCCAAGCTTGAAAATGTTGCTCGATTTAATCTGAACAATATTTACAGTCAACTTTATTACTCCTCATTAACGAGGACAGGAAAGTGAACTATCTGTTCTTTTATAAGCCAGGTACAGTAAGGCAACAAAGAGAGTTAAGGCTACAGATAAAATAAGGAAAAAGAAAAGAAACCTATTAAGCAACTACAAGTCAAATGGATCCGAGTTCCAGTTGATACATGTTGGCTGAAGTTGTTATTGTGGTTTGATAAAACTGAAATATGACATTGATTTTCCTTGTTCCTATGCTTGTGCTCCGAGTTCCAGCAGAAGAGTGTTGTTGATAGCATTCGCTGCTGGACCAAGAAATTGAATCGGACCTGATCAAAAGTGAAAATGGAGTAATTCAGAAACCCGGCATTTATATTCCATAAACCTCCACGTCTAAGGCACAATCCATACTACTGAAATAGGAGCCAAGCTGGGATATGGCAAAAGAAGAAGGGTTATGACAAACCTGGATTAACATAACGATTCTTAAGCGCCCACTCGTCACGAAAAGATGCAAATTTTTTGAATGGAGCGCCTGAAATTCCACCAGGAAAGAAATTAAGAAAGTTTTAAGCAGTGTACCATGTTACTACAGCAGATAATTGCTGGCAGGAGGCATCTTCAATTTATAGAGGCAATAAGATAATAAAAGTTCAGAAAAATGTTTACCTTCAAGTTCCACCATTGCTTTCTTAATCACAGGCTTGAACTTCCCTGCAAAATTAAAACTCTCAAATTTTAAATATGCTTTGATTGGGTTCATGATAAGGGCATTTCTAGGTTCTTAACTCAAAATGCTTCAGTATCATGATGTGTCACTGAACATATCGGTGGTTCAGATCTTGGGGTGAAGAGTCTAGTAATAAACATTATATAAGAACATAACAGGTTTTGGAGGGAGTAGTTAGCCTAAATTGAATGGTGAAAAGGTGAGTGGCGATGTACCATGTCTCCGTTCCACATCCATTAAAGAAGTCAGTGCTGTTCCCCCAACTGTCCATTGCTCCACTGGAGCAGCCAAATTTCCCACCTGCATACACAATTTAAATTAGGCAAACACTTGGGAGTTACAAACACAGAAAGAAACTAACTTGATTAACTAAGAAAAATGAAAGAATAAATAGTTGATACTAAAACAATTATAACTTACAGAGGAAATCAACCCAGTCTTTCCAGAATGAAGGAGGGCTCCAGCACCAAAACCCAATGCATAGCAGTAGTTTGCATCAAAGTTCGTAGGCAAACCACATCTACCCTCATAACTACAAAGTAAAACATTAAGTATCATATAATATCTGATACCAGGAACAAAACATACGGCAATATGATCCACGGTATCTTCTATGAAACATTACAAAAAATGAGAACTGAAGGAACCAGAGGCACAAATATGTTGGTACCCGAAGAAGTGGGTCTTTCCTAAGAAGTCCCGCTTATATTTACCCTCCTGCTTCCGCTTGTCCAGTTCAGTTTCTACCATCTGAAGGAGCATCTTTTCTGTCTCTATTTTGGCAACCTAAATTCTTAACATTGTGTAAGACTTAGGAAAATGCAATATTCCAACAAAGTCCAACAGATATGGGGCAAAGATATGACAATAAATAGAATATACCTGCACATTCCCATGTGGATCTCTTTCAAGCAGTAGTTGCTCCTGAATTGTTGGAGGCAAAAACTCGAAAAGCTCATGAGATGGGGTCTGGAGTTTCTTTTTCCACACCCCTGCTTCATCAACAACATCATGAGCTAATATTTCATTAAGCTCTGCAATTAGTTGCTGTACCTGCAAGTTTTATGGTAACACCAAAAGAAAAAAACAACTATAAGAAATCCCCAGCTGTCAAAAATATGAGAATAAAGCAAGTTATATCATCTCACGTTATTCAAAATGATACCTCCGGAATAAAATCAATCAGGCCCTCTGGTATAAGTATGACACCATAATTAAATCCAAGTTCTGAGCGTTTGCAGATTATATCTGTTATATAGTCTGTTACACTCTTGAGTGTCTGCTTCTTGGCAGCAACCTGCCGTGAAACGAAACATTGTGAAGTCACAACAGTATAAGATATATAGAAACTAAAGGTTTAACCCTGCGTTCTTCTAATTATAAAATGGATGTATGGAAATGAAACCTAAAAAATTATCAGTAGCCCCTCAAAACTTCAAGATATTTTCTTCCATATCTCACTACATGTGAAGAAAAATTTGAGGACCCAGAAAAGGCAATATCAGCAGGCACATTTCTAGATGATAAGTCACTACCTCTCAGTTCGCATTTAATTAATCAACAAGTCAACAGAGAGCCAATAACTTTGGAGCATAATTTGAAAAGTGATTAAAAAGAATAAAAATATAAAAAGAGAGCTTGGCCTATCAAAAAGTTGGAAGTTGGCTAGAATCATTTTCAATTATATTGTAGCTAATTGGCAGAGAGAAAAGGATATTAGAAAATACTTCTTCCCCAATAATTGTAACGTTTGGATGAGTCTCCAGAGCACATTCCAAGGTTATATGAGAAGCTGCACGCCCCATAAGCCTTACAACTGCAGAAGTAGACAATTAGGAGAACAATCAAGAATAAACATTCATGGTATGAGTTCATATGCATGGCAGGGGGCTAAACACATCACATTACAAAAATCAGGTTGTGCAACAGAAGTGGCACTCCTATAATTGGATAAAAATAGAGAAAACCAGATTCTATATACTAATTCACCTAGCTATAGTTTAGGTAAAGATGGATACTTTTTATTATTATTTCTCCCCCAATTTAACCAATGGTTACTACTAAAATAGGACTTAAAAATCACAAATTTCAGGATTGGCTTGGAGAACCTGCTAGCTTTCCAATACAATGAACTTGTCTTGAAGTAGGTCACTTCAATGTTGAATTTCAAGTACTGTTTGCTAATACTCACCCTTAATCTATAAAAATAAATATGTAATGTGATTCCTAAAATTTAAAATAAAATTAAAAAAAGTAATGTGAAAAACTGATAATTTTGTAAAACATTTCCTCACAAAAACAACAAATAAAGCATGACATAGTCCGAACTTTATTCTTTTGCAACCAGAGCACTTACAATGGTAGTATTTCCCAGTTGAACGGGCATCTGTCATTACATTACCAATCATTTCTGAATATAACTGCATGTTAATTCACACACACAATTGTGAAAAATATTGCACTGACATAACAAAAAGGATACATTGTACAGCATAAAGTTGGTTGTATCACAACATCAAATGATAACCTAAGAAGTACCTTGCATGCAGTGTCAAATCCAAAACTGACAGGCACTTCTTTGCTTTTCAGATCACCATCAATGGTTTTTGGACATCCAATTACCCGTGTCTTGATATTTTTACCCCTAAAAGTTAATAGCATAAGAGATATATCTGGATGATTATACAAGTGTAAATACTAAAGCATATGAACATAATCTCTAAAGAAACTAAGGAATTGCATAAATGCATAGACATAGCAGATCATTAACTTGAGGAGGGATAACTTGTACCTGAAATGTTCAGCTAGAAGGCAAGCATTAGTATTTGAGTCATCCCCACCAATGACCACAAGCCCATCCAAATCAAGCGTCTTTGCTGTTTCTTCTGCTTGCTTAAACTGGAAGGCATACAACCAAACTTCATTACCATATATCTAAAATCTGATCCAGGAGAAGACAATCTGTACAGAAATGAATTTGATAAGCATGTGATCAATTTTGTAAGAGCAATTAAGTAACCTGTTCGGGAGTTTCGATCTTGTCTCTGCCGCTAGCAATCATGTCAAAGCCACCCTGTCAAAAGAGTCTGTGAGAAACAAATTTCTGAAAGTAAACTTGTCAAACATGCTGCAAACTAGATCAAAGTCTTTTACAAAGAACATATTATAGAAGAGCAACCTACTTGGCCAAATATTTCTTACCACACAAGAAAGGAAAGAGTGCAGAAGATTAATTGATAATCACAATACAGAAACAAAGACTACCTGATTTCTGTAAGGATACACAAATTCCGCAGACAATTCAACATATTTACCCTTCATGATACCTGCCGGACCACCCTTAAATCCATACACTGTACTTCCACTAGTGCGGTGCTGTAAGTAATCTAACCACAAATACGGGAAAAAATAAATTACTGAAATTATTTATTGCAACGTTTTAACTGAAGTTAAAAGTTGTCTAAAGCAAAGCCAGAGCCTGACCAAAAATCCCAGAAATGACATTGTGTCCACCAGGAGCCTGTCCTCCAGAGAGAACCACTCCAATCTTCAAACTTGTATCCTTTGAAAGTACTGAAGAACCACCTGGATTTAGCACTGCTGAGGGCTGTCCAAATAGGTTAGGAAACAACTTGGCTATCTCTTCTGAAATTACATTGAACAAAATCATATTTAAAAAACAATATGGAAATCCAATTATCACATTATAGACCAAGTCAAATTTCAGAAGAACAGTCCATGAACTATGATATATGACTTAGAGGGAATTTTAAAAAATCTCCCATATATCCCATTTTAAGAAAAAGTTCAGAACTTCGTATCAGTCTGGTTTTGGAAGACTGGCTGCATTAATTAACAAGTATTTTTTTAGCAATTGTAGTAATTGGGTCTTCAGGATGAAACCTGACAGACGTAAACAACATGTAAACCAACCGGACAGTCGCCGATCATATACATAAGCGAAACGTACATACATGCACAGTGCCCAAATAACATAGACAATAAGACATAGCTTGTGTAATAAATGAAGTGCATAAACAGTTGATAAAACATTAAAGAGGGACCTGGGTTTCCAGCAGCAGAGCTTTTAGGGCCATCGACGACGCTGAAGGAGCTTTTGAGAACAGAAGGGAGAGGAAGCGAAACGTCGAGACGACTGGCCTGGACCTCGCTGTACGAAGAGGTCAATCGACCAGGCACCGCCTTGAGGTTGACAGAGGACGAGGACATGATCGCCTTCAAACTGAGAGAGACTGTGAGAATGAAGAAACAGATAGATGGGTTTCGGAGCGGTGCTGGTTTTGGCTTTTGGCTTGTGAAGCGGAAAGTTGCTTTATGGATAATGGAATCTAGTATACAGCTTGGTATGTAGTCAAGCTTTTATTATTATTTTAGTACCCAAAGAATAAGACTAATGAAAAAAGTAATGTTGTGATCAATGACACTAGTAAACTGTTTGTTTTATTAATCTAAGATCATTTTTAAGTCCTTAAGTGGGCGGTATTATAGGATAGAAAAGCCGATTGACGCCTGAATGAATATGTATTGAATTTAGTTAAATGTGGGAAATTGGAGCAAAGAATCAATCATCTTATTGAGGAACTTGTGACTACTAATCTAAAACCACAAATTCTATTTGTGCATTTGGGATTGGTTGGCAACCTCCCAGGAAAGGGATGTCAATTGCTCAACTCTGTTTTGGTTTTACAGGCTGGTTAGTATTTGCCTTATTTCAAAAAGAAAAAAAAGAAGGTGAATATTGCATTGGGTTGGAAATATATGTTGGGCTTGGTGATAGACCCAAACAAAAAGGCCCCCAGTACCAGCTACGCCTACAGAGCAAAGGAGCTAAATCAACGTCACCACTCAGTCTTCTTCTACACAAGGAAAGGCGCTATCCCTCGCCGCCGTCATCACAGGTAACAACTCCGTCGAAAAACACAGTTGAGGTTATATATATATATATATTTTCTCTCTGTTTCTTCCTTATTTTGAGTTTGTTTATCTGCTCTTTTATATTTTTCTATGCTCTCGTTTTTTGTTTAAATTTAGTTATAGTTCGTCCATTGCTGGTAGACGTTGAATCTAACATTGAAAAATCTGATTTTGGGTGATATGAAGATGAAAAGGTTTGTTCTTGAGAAGATTGAGCTTAGTCGACAACGGGCTTAGTTTCCTTCCACCTTTAGAGATTATACAACATCGTAATTTGTTGCATTTGTTCAATTCTAGGATTAAGTGATCAGAGATTAGGATAATTTAATAATTTCAGTGGAAAGCATTAACTTTTTAAAACTGGGTACTAATCCAAGTTCATGAAAATTCAGCTTAGTCTCCATTTTTCCTTTTTTAATGGATCGTTACATGATGTGGTGGCTTTGTTTGAACCGTGAAGTGGGTTGTGGTAAAATGGAGAGAAATTAGTGTTTCAAGGTCACTGAGCTTGGTTTACAAGTGGGTCCTTGTTATGCTTTTTTTGTTCAATGATTTATCAACAAATGTTCGGAAATGCTAGAAAGAGGGGACGATAAATAAATGGATTCTAATGTAATCGAGGCAGATAATTTGCATTAGCCAGTTTTTAATATTTTGATGTTTATCTTTGCAATGCTGCTTTAATAGTGCTTGAAACCCTTTAAGCAAAGCTATACCATTTTCTAGTAAACTGGAAATCTTCTATAGATAAATAGTAAGCTATGTTTAACGGCACGATAGAACTTGTCTTCTTTTTGCATAGACTTTCTGTCTTCCCAATTTCTTATGATTATCTTCTTTTTGGACCTTTCTTCATTCTAATGCAGCCATGTATTAGTAAATTTTACATATATTGAAGTTATGGCTTAGGCACCACTTTGGGATGTGTAGGTCGGAGAAGAAATGAATGCTTTCAAGGCTTTTAAAGCCAGTGTCCCAATTGCATGGAGCCCTAATCTATATATAACTTTGGTAAGGGGAATCCCAGGAACCAGGAGACTTCACAGGCGTACTTTAGAGGCATTACGTCTCCGCAAGTGCAACCGAACTGTTATGCGATGGAACACTCCTACAGTTAGGGGAATGCTCCAACAGGTTTGATATAAGCTCACAGTGGATGCATTCATGGATTAAGGCATCTCTCCTGTCTGTAATTGATAATGTTAGCATGTTATGTTTTCACACAGGTTAAGAGATTGGTCGTGATTGAGACAGAAGAGATGTATAAGGCCCGCAAACAAAATTTGGAAAACCACCGAGCTCTACGTCCCCCTTTGGTCATAAATCACCTACCTGCTTCTGCAAGTGGTTCTTCTTAATAGCATATGTAATTGTTTAGAGGTCAGCTTTCAGCTTCTTAGATATGTGCCTCTTGATTGAGGGGACTAATTTTCCTATAGTGTATTTTTTATAAGCAGCCAAAGCTGGATCCAGTTGTTTATCAATTTCTATGTTTGGCTTTGTACCTCAAAATTTGCTGTGGTTCTGAACTAGTGAATTCATACTGAAGCAAGTACTATTGCAACTAAGCAGGGCTTCTATTTGCATATGCAGTACGGTGGATGGTTTGATTTGATGAATGGCTGATTTTCAGACTTGCGTCATGGATCTGTTGTTGTGCTGCATTTTTTTTTTTTTTGGGATAAATAAAAATCTATTATCACATTGCATTCTAGATCACACCGTATTTAAGTTTTAGACTGAGAGACTGCAGACCAAAATAGGATTAAATATCTAATAGGGATTAATAAGCATGATACAAATTATCTTATCTTTTTTTTTTTTCTTTTCTAGTTGTTTAGAACCAGTATTACACAAGATCCTTTTGGAAGCATACGTTCTAGGGTCCTTCCTTTGCCTCAATTCTTATTATCTCTGCCATCTCTTCAACTCTTATGTCATTTGAGCTCTTGTGCTCCTTTTTGAAACTATCGTTAGGGCTACCATGCTGCTGGCCTTTGTACTGGTGTCTCATTGCAAACGCAAGAAACGCAAAGAAATTTAAAGCTCCGAGCACTGCGAGCAGCAAGTAGAAGTAATCCACCCTTCCCTTGTTCAAGTTACTCCTCAGCCAGCTCTTCTTAGTCACTTTGTCCACCACAGTCACCAACAGAGTGCTAACATAGAACCCCATTGAGATGGTGCTTAAGAAAAGCCCTGTGCTCATGGACTTCATCCTGTCCGGTGCCTCTCTGATGAAAAATTCAAGTTGTCCAACATAGACAAAAGCTTCTCCAGCACCCACTAGGAAGTATTGTAGGACAAGCCAGAAAGCACTTATTTTGGTATTTTGGTGAACAGCGAATTCCCTTCTTTGTTTCTCTACTATTGCTGCAGCAATCATAGCAGCCATTGATAAAACGAGTCCAATTCCAATCCTCTGAAGGCTTGTTAATCCTTGGGCAGTGTTGGTGAGTTTTCGAGCAATGGGGACAAAGAGTTTCTCGTTTAAGGAAGTAAACAGGAGAATGGTGATGAAGAGAAAGGCAGAGAAAGAACCCGCAGGGATAACAAAGGAGCCTATTTTTCGGTTCATGAAGGTGGCTTGTTCAATGGTGAAGGTAGTCATTTGAGAGTAGACTGTCCAAAAGAGGATACATGTCGACCAGACTGGCATGAGCTTGAAAACCAGTTTCACCTCTTCAACTTGGTTCACTGTGGATACTATCCATGGGTTGCTTCTGTTTCCTTCAGCAGAAGCATATTCATCTAGGATTGCAGCTTTGTCTAGACACCTAACCATTCACGTGCATAGGGAAACAAAACCTTTGTCAATGGCAGTGAAGAACCTTAATGAGAAAGTGATGGTTTTAGTTGGATTTGATGCATGATATTACATGGTTCATGACTTTCTACATAAATCTTAGATACATTAGATGATTTACATAAACTTACTTGAGCCTGTGTGTGTGGGGGATCTTGGCTTCTTGGTATTGATTCAAAAGGCTTGGATGAGCAGGATAAGGATAAGCCCTCTTCTTCCAAGCCAAAAATATCACCCTCCATATGACAGTTAAAGGGCTGCCTTGAGGCTTATGGAATCTATAAAACGGCGTCCCGGAGAGCAACACAACAAGTGCAATGATCATCGCCCCTGCCGATATTCCATAACCCAAACCCCTGCCAACATTATCTTGTACATACACCAGCACAATAACAGCAAACAGAGAGCCAATGCTAATGCCAAAGTAGAACCTGTTGAAGAAGAAGATCATGGACTTCTCTTCCCTGGGGTCTCTGGCATCAAATTGATCAGACCCAAAACCTGAGACATTGGATTTTATACCACCACCACCTAGTGCTGTAGTATATAAAGCAGCATAGAGCAGAGCTAATTGCTTTCCATTGGCCTCAATACATTCATGGTGTTGCTTTCTGTAGTCATCACATGGAGGTGGTCTCATGCTAGGAATGGATGTTGCCAATGTCAACAAAATTATCCCCTAAAGCAAGAAAATTCAGATTTTTCTTTTCTTTTCAAAATAATACAGAATTGGACTTGTAAACCAAAGTGACTGAAAACTTACCAGACCAGTTATTGTTGCAGAAAGGGCAACAGTCAAGTACCTTCCCAGTTTAGCATCTGCTAGAAACCCACCAAGGAGGCCAAGGAGGTTCAAAGTGCCCATGAAATTGGTCACTATGGTCGCAGATTTTGCAGAAGATATATGCAAATTTCCAACCAAGTAAGTTACTAGATTCATAGATATGCCCATCACACAGATCCTCTCAGCCAGTTCAATTCCTGCAGCATGGTGATCGTTTAGTTAGCATTAAGCATGGGATTAAGAAGAGAAAGTTTGAGTGGAAGTTAGAATAAAGCACCCAAAATAAGCCCTGCAGCAAGCCATCCACCGGTTTTGGACTTGTCCACAGGGTTCCCTCTAAAATCCACCACAGCTCCATCACTTGCACCTTCTTTCTCACCATCCCTTGGTATCAAAACCTGTTGAAATGTAGGGAAAAAAAATTGTTTAAAAAATCCAAAAGAGGGAACTCATTGAAATTTCGAGTTTCTGGTATGATATTTGAGTTGTTTGAGTTAGTATGTAGCTACCATCTTTCAGCAGAGAGAGAGAGAGAGAGAGAGAGAGAGATTTTTCTCCTTTAGGATTTGCAGCAGAGCAGTAGAAGCATGACAGTGCGTGTATGATTGGGGTTATATATAGCACTGTAAGGACTGTGTTTTACTGGCTTTGTCATCGTCTCCACAATTTCTAGTGGTTAAGAGCAGCTGAGCTACACCACATTTTTGAAGCATGTGAACACTTTTAACATACGTATATATGTTTTGTGGTTTCTATGCTTGCAACCCAAAAAATGGAAAGTGACACTCCTTCTGTCCTTCCTTCCTCTCCATCATTGCGAAATTGAGAGTTGATAAATTCAAAACAAAAGCACCTAAGCTATACGACACACCTAAAGAGCAGTAGATTTT